AGACCCACAATGCCCTTTGGTCTTGGAATGCACTATTCAGTAGGCAGCATTCAGTAGTCAACTTTGTGAAATAATAGCTGTATTAGATAAATAGCTAAATGCACATACCTTGTCTACATCAAACTGCCATCAAAGATGAAAAAGAGAATGAAAGAAAAGTTAGAAAGTGAAAATAAAGAAAAATAATCTTCAGTGTATAGTTCTATGAACTGTGTATATCTATTCATTTATAATGGTTTGGGTCATCTTTAAACTTGTACACTCCACTCCCCACCCCATTCCCCACCCCACTCCATTCTCCACCCCACTCCCCACCCCATTCCCCACCCCACTCCATTCTCCACCCCACTCCCCACAGTTGTGGGCAATCACACTTTGTACAACCTCAGACAATAATCTAGTTTGGAAGTCCCAAATTTTTCCAGTGCCTTCGACACTCCTCTCTCCCACTACACATAGAAGGAACTCATGGATTGAACTGGCATTCATCATGTTGGTATTTGTAGGGGAAAGACAACTAGAAAACCCRGAGAAAAACTCTCAAATCAAGGCTGAGAGACCTAATGAACTCTGCTCATGTATGATGCCAAGGCCAGCAATCAAACCTGAGACCCCAGAGGTGAGACAAGTAGCGCACTACTACTTTATAATACCATCCTTGGTTCAATCCTTTATCAATGAATTAGAAATGGCTGTAGCTGTGATGCCGAGGCCAGCAATCAAACCTGAGACCCCAGAGGTGAGACAAGCAGTACACTACTACCTCATAATACCACCTTGGTTCAATCCCTTATCAATGACTTGGAAATGGCTGTAGCTTGCCCTGTGATCAATAAAATTGAAATTGAAATTGAAGGTAATAATTTAGTTCTTACCCTCTCCAGGTTGTTATAGAAGTCGACATTAGCGGCACACAAGTACCTCCCCAGAAGGGTGGCATGGGTAGTAAACACTGTTGCCACATTCACTTTGAGTGTGCGTAGCATCATAAGCCCCACCCCTGTTTGCCACTCATGGAAATGTGCAACTACTGGGATGTTCTGGTCGTAGCGCGAACGAAACTGAAAAGAATAGAATACACCAATATAAATGATCTTTATATTTGACATTATAGTTTCATAATTAATACTACAACTACCAAAATCAGTTCAGTTAATTATAGCACCAACTGTCTTACTATTCTCATGAGATAATACGAATTTGAATATAAAAAAAATTTGCAAAGCAGTGGCGRATCCAGGGGAGGGGTGCAGAGGGTGCGCACCCCTCCCTGGTTCGACTTTGTGCCCCTACTTCAAAGATTTAACCAAGACATAATTATGTTTTTTCCCTTTGATTCTAAGGGATGCACCCTTCCCTGGGTTAACTATGTGCGCTGCACCCCTCCCTGAACAAATTTCTGGGTCCGCCGTCCATTACAATAGACCATTTTCTCAAGGTTGCATGCGAGCGCATCCAACTTCACGGGCCACAAAACTGAATAATGCAAATTCAGTAAAATTGACAAGACAGTTTTATATTTAAAGAGGAGAATAAACGATTTTATGAATTCTTATTGAAAAAAAAATTCATAGCAATGCTTGATAATACTAGTGTTCTGGTATCGTAGACCCTAAAGTTCATTAAATTTGGATGTGCACACAACCTTGAGAAAATGGTCTATTGATGCAGAATGAAATTTTAAAAAGCTGTGGATATTAGATGGGCCAGGATGCCAAAATGATGACACAAGGGAGTTTTCAACTTTTCACAATTTTCTGTGCTTGTGCCATTATCCTTGGCATTGCTATTCTCTCTAGGACATGGAAAAGCACCAACTGATGTTCTAGAGAGGATTGCAATGCCAAGCACGATAATGCATGCATGCGCATGAAAAAACGTTTCGAAAACGTGCTCCTGTTATCGTTTTGCCGTCTCGGCCCTGGATATTTGGAGATGATTAAGGTTCTCAATAAGTTATTAGGGTATCAAAGTATAACTATAAGGCCGGCGACAACTGTGGTTCCAATCTGAGCTCGCACTCAAGAGAATGCACGAGAAGACAAACCTTGTCACCAGAAATGGTATTGGTGCTTCTTGATCTTTTTTATACCTAAATTGCAAGGTTTTTTTGCTTACCTCTGATATAAACTGTGCCACTAAATAGCCCAGTACTAAAGCGTCATTGCTCTCTGTATCGGCATCTGGGAGGCCAATGTGAACAGCTTCCCAGAATTCACTTTTCCACTTATTGAGTTTATGGTAAACGGAGCCAATATCAAACAAGACAACCTAGATGAAACAAATTACATCAATTATCTTTGAAATTAAATGTCTATTTAGCAATGACTTCATTGTAAAATCTGTTACTAAAATTATGAATATTTATGAAGGAAAATAAGAAAGATCACAACTGTGAAGAGGTTTATAATTTCATAATCCTGATACAAAATATTGTTTTCAAGAAACATAACTAAGTTCTTCCAAATTTCAATGCAAAATGAAATTATTAGTATTAATTAGTATGATCTTGAGTACAATTCATAATTTATAGGCATGAGTGATGTTTTAAGAGTTTTCAAAATTGGAGAACTTTCAGTTTGAGAACTTTCAAAACATCAGAGTATCTATAAATTCTGAATTGTACGAGAAGATCGTGCAATTTTTTGTTTATAATACACTAAACAAAATTGAGCAACTTAATTGGGATTCTACAGAGTCCAATTTGGGATTTAATTGTACTTCTCTTTTCCAATCAGAATCGAGTAATTTTGTCGAGTGTATTATAAAAATCATAATTTCAATCATGTCGTCGTATTAGATCTACAATCAGCTTTTTTGGTAAATCTGATATACAACAGCCAATGATGTCGTAGAAATGACTTTTTGACACACCTATATACTACTCTAACCATAAAATTATATATCCCAACAGAAACTAGTACATGTATATTGATTGATGCCTACAAGGTTTTTATCGACTTAATAAAGATGATGATGATGATGATGACATATGCTGTCAACATAAGAGAATGCCTCAACACTCACCTTTGGATAGCCCTCAATAAGCCATCTTCCAAAATATACCTACAAGGTCAAGGCAAGGAAATATTAAAGACCCATCGCTAGACAGCAGGGAAAAATATATAATTTAATTAACTTAGGCCTTTTTGAGTTTGATAAACAGTTTGCATTGTGGTCTAGCTTAAGCCCCGTTTACACTGACAATTTTTACGGTGATTTTTGCTGCAATTTTTGTGGCATTTTCGGAAATGTGAAATCTTTTGTCTCACATCCTTCAAAAGAGACATTCGTCTAGGGAAAATCTTGGTATCCTGGAAAAAAACTTTACAAGTAAATTCTTTACCATTATTTATTATGGACAAAATAAAAAATATATCGCAGCAAAAATTGCCGCAAAAATCATTAGGGTAAATGTGGCTTTAGGTAGAAGCAACACATACTGTGCAATGAAAGAAAATTGTTGAACAATAGATTTTTGTTTTCAAGCTAGACCATGATGCACCATATTTACTATCTCACAACACCATATAAGGCATGAGGAACAAAAGATGTAAGTACCCAAGCTTGACCACAATGTATCATGTTCACTATCTCACAACACCATATAAGGCATGATGAACAAAAGATGTTAGTACCCAAGCTAGACCACAATGCACCATGTTCATTCTCACAACACCATATAAGATATGATGAACAGAAGACGTTTGTACCCAAGCTAGACCACAATGCACCATGTTCAGTATCTCACAACACCATGTAAGATATGATTTAAAAAAAGATGTTAGTACCCAACCTAGACCACAATGCACCATGTTCACTATCTCACAACACCATGTAARATATGATTTTAAAAATGTTAGTATCCAACCTAGACCACAATGCACCATGTTCACTATCAAAAGGCATGGATTGCATGTCCCAAAGGATTGCTATGCATTGTATATTTCTGCATATATGTACTTATATACACTATTATACACTATTATGTACCTTGACTCCCTTGCCGCGCACGGCTTGTAATGCACCCATCATACTTTCAGATTCTGGCTCCATCATTTCAACTTCCATCGTACACTGCTTGTCATTATAGATTCCCATCATGCAATAGAGGTCGCCAACTGCCTCAACGGTCGTACCTGCTTTAGATCTGATGACTGTATAGATGCCACCAACTAGAGAGATAATGCATTATTTATTGAATGAGATTAATGGTTGTTTTTAATAGACCTAATCCACTGTTTTCCCTTTTCAGACCACGTGTCATTCCCTAGAGTATTATTTTTTGTTTAAAAGTTGCACATGAGAAGACACATGAATATCAGGGGCGGATCCAGGGGAGGGGTGCAGGGGGTGCGCACCCCTCCCTGGTTCCACTTTGTGCCCCTACTTCAAAGATAGCCAATACTGTTTTTTCCCTTTGATTTTAAGGGGTGCACCCCTCCCTGGGTTAACTTTTGTGACCAGCAATCCTCCCTGAACAAAATCCTGGATCCATCCCTGGATATAGATATATAACTCAAACAAAGAATCTAATGAACTGGGCAAAACATTATGCCCAAGTGGATTTGGTCTATTATGAAGACCAAAGCCGTGCTATTTGCTGAAGCCTTAGACAAAGCACATAACAAAAAAGCCAAGGTCTTGACTATATTTATTTTACAATTCTTCGTTTGCAATAGAGGTCATAGCCACCATGTTGGAAGAATTTGACAAAAGATTTTTCAATGAATTCTTTTGTTTTATCTTCCAACATGGCGGACATCCCTTTTGTTATTGTGCTCTCTTGGGATTGATTGCAAACCAAGAATATCATTTTTTTCATTTCAGACCATGTGTCATGGGAGAATAGGCACTGGCAGGATATCTAAAGGCATGTAAATTTGTGTAACCGAATATCTACAGGACTCTTTGTTACTTAGAGAAGCCAAGCCAAGCTTATTATTTTTATTGTTACAAAGTGATCATAAGTCTGCAAACATAAGCAAGTAAATACTACCTCAAAACCTCGAAAATAAACTATAACATCATAAATAAGTTGCATCACTATGCTTTTCGAGACCTTTAAGGTTTAAGTGCTTTAATAATTAATCATAAGAGGACAACAATTTCAATCAGTGGGATTAGTTCAACGTAAACATACACCTCACAAATGGTTGAAGGACGTTGCAAAAAAACAATCATAAAAATCAATATATTTAACTTTTTACCTTTATTGGCCACTTCCCAAGAGACCTCGAAGGTGAAATACTTAGGATCATCTTCATCTGGTGTGTATTCCTCGTGTAAGAAGCTCATTTTTGCTGCTCTTTTTTCCGTCTTTTTGGACGAAGTAGTTTCGGTTCTGCACACACTGCCCCTTGAGCCCGCGTCAGCATGGTCAGAGGTATACGTATGCTAATTAGCTAGTGCTTTCTCTCGCTCCAGAGTCACCTTCCTCCGTAAAAGTCAACACGTGATTTGAAAATTAATGTAATGTAAATATTGAAGGTAGTGGTAGTGCGTGTGGAGCCTACCTCATGGGGATTGATTGTTGTAAAATGTTTTTTTTTATTCTTCTTACTGCTATCCCTTCTTTCTTACTTCCTTTCTTTCCTCCTTCCTTCCTTCCTTCATTTCATTCCCTTCCTTCCCTTCTTCTTTTTTAAGGAATTCGAATTCCCAAGAAAGAAAACGCAAAATAAAAATAAGCTATATGCAACCATTCTAATGTCATTTTCGTTGCGAGGACACGAAAAGAAGTTAAGGTGGTATTTGACGGGAGCTCTAGTAACGTTTTAATTAGCGCAGATTTCGCATGATTGGCAAACTGTACATTCATTTAATTGGAAACTGTACACTCTCATTTTATTATTATTGTTATTTGTAAGGAGAGGAAGGCTTCAAAAAAACGAAACATTCATTTGTGCGCTCAATCTTAGATATATGAATTTTACTTCAATTTAGTACATACTTAACACATCATTTATAGACAAGAGTAAGATTGAATTCGGTAAAACATTGGCCATTTTATCCCACTGTTCAACATAGTGAGGGATGATGGCCGTCATGAGGTGAGAAGAGAAGAAAAGAGAAGAGAAGAGAAGAGAAGAGAAGAGAAGAGAAGAGAAG